CTTTAATTAGAGCTTGGGAGTGGCAGGGATCAGGGTCCAGAAGTTCGGGATGACGAACTTAAACTTAGCGTTCTTTTGGTTGGCTCTTTAGACTTTAACTTTTTGGGTTTCTATATGAACTATAATATCTAGGCTAAACGTTTAACTTTTAGGAGGGGTTCAGAAGTACGCCAAGTAAACAGTCTGCAGATCGGAGAGAGCTGAAATGCGAGACCCTTAACCACATGCAATTGGATCTTGAGGGTTTCCATGTAGATCCCCTGATTGGTGAACCTCCTTCACTGGAGACTTGAAGTTATAGAGATCCTATCTTCAAGGTCTGCAAAAGGAACGGGTCGCACCCTAACCCCGAACCCTAAACTGTTGGGCCTCTCATCTCAGCAAGGTTTTGTGACGCGGCTTAAAGGTGTGGTCGCATTTCTGGGATTGGAGCTTATAGGGTTTATGATTTCTGGGTATGGGGTTGAAGGTGTTCTGTCCTCAGCAACTGCGGTTTAGGGTTTAGGGTTTAGGGTTTTAGGGTTTAGGGTTTAGGGTTTGGGGTTGAGGGTGTTCTGTCCTCAGTCTGTGGTCGGACACAGCCTGGCCAAAGCACGCAGAAGCGCAGGATGTTGCCTCCGGGTCACAGTGCTTCTCCAATGTAGGGACCTTCATAATTAGAATAAGATTTTGGGGCCCATGGTACTATATTTATAATGAGGAGCCCCCAAAATAGAATATACTCATATAGTCATAATAAGGAGCCCCCCAAAAGTGTGTGTGTATATTATATATATATATATATATATAGAGGTTATTATTTAGGCCCCTATATTACGGGCCTAGGGCTTAAGGTGTTTAGAGTTACCACGGCTTACAGCAGCCACATTGGCATGTAGGCACCGCTGTACACAAAGTCGAGCCTGCATCTTATCTATATCAACCCTAAACCCTAAACCCTAAACCCTGAACCCCACCCTATATACATCCTAAACCCTATATAAACCCTTAGCCCTTTTGGAAACCCTGAACCCTAAGCATGGAGCAGCAAGAAGTCGAAATAAGACGGCTGAGGGCAGAGACTCCAATATCCCTTAACTAAGGATTATACCTTAAGTCATATTAGGGATCCCCACTATAATTAAGGGTATATTCCTTAATGAAGGGATATTGGCGTCTCTGGGAGAGCAAAATCAGAAGAGCTCCGGGCGCAAGTTTCTGACCTGGACCCCACTAGGGTTTAGGATTGTGGTTTGGGTTTTTGGGTTTTGGGTTTAGGGTTTAGGGGTTGAGGGTTTTGGGCTGCCTATAAGATATAGTTGCTGCCTTTTTTGTTCTGAGAGGATCCTAACCATTAAGGTACTGCCAAGGAATGGACTACAGTCTGGGGTCTACTTGGAGGTTCATGGGTAGTTGCAAGTAGGGTTATACGCAGGATAAATGTGGTTAGGCTATAACCCATACTTGGGGACTTATAACCCAAACTTGTAAATACCCGACACCCTAAACCCCACACCCTAAACCCTACACCTTACACCCTAAACCCTAAACCCTTAAACCCTAAACCTTACACCCTAAACCCTAAACCCTACACCCTTAAACCCTAAACCCTACACGCTAAACCCTAAACCCTAAACCTTCAAGTAAGTAGCGTCTGGGCTTTCACAGCTAGAAGCAAGGAGTCAAAAAAGTAGGGTTTGGTAGTTTAAGGTGTATATATATATATACACCCTAAACCCTAAACCCTAAACCCTAAACCCTAAACCCTAAACCCTATACCTATAACTTTGGTTGGAGGCATCAAATCCAGGGGCCAAGGCATCCCCGGCTCGATCTGGAAGGCCACGTAGCGGGAATTTTTCTCCACGAGGAGCAACCGGGTGCAGAGAACGGAAGCACGATTTAGGGTTTAGGGTTTAGGGGTTTAGGGGTTTAGGATTTAGGGTTTAGGGTTTAGGGTTTAGGGGTTTGGGTTTAGGGTTTAGGGTTTAGGGCCACCTCCGCCAGCTGTGAGCGCTGAAAACATGTGTTGTGGCGTCTATGCGGAAGGTGGAGGACATGATCCTCGGCAGATGCTTGTCCCCTCGAGGCGCCATGAGGTGCCCACCGCCTCTTTCAGGTGGGGCTTTAAATGCGCAGGCTTCGTCCGACTTGGACTCTGTGCCTTGAAACTGAAAGTGGAAGTGATACCTATATCTATATCTTAATTTAGGCGATTAGGGTTTAGGATCCCGAGAAAAAGTTTAATTAGGGCTTTAGGGCTTAAGGCTTAAGGTCTAGGGTTTAGGGTCCCAAGAAAAAAGTTTGGGGGTTTAGGGCTTAAGGCTTAAGGTTTAGGGTTTAGGGTCCCAGGAAAACAAGTATACGAAGAGTACCTGCTCGGGGGTCTAAAGTCTACACACGAGGCTAACTTTGGGCGAGTTGGAGTTTTCGGGTATGACGGCATGACCATCCGTTAACCTCACATCTAAAACCCCCAAAATTCCCAAAACCCTAAGCCCTAAACCCTAAACCCTAAACCCCAAACCCCTAAACCCTAAAACCCTAAACCCCTAAACCCCTAAAGCCCTAAACCCTAAAGCCCAACCTCCCCAACCAAGGCCATTTGGGACACGGTACCCGAGCGAGAGTCGGTCATCAGGCAGTACGACCAAGTCAGGCAGCGTTTAGGGTTTAGGGTTTAGGGTTCAGGGTTCAGGGTTTCGGGTTTAGGGTTTAGGGTTTAGGGTTGAGGGTTTAGGGTTCGGGGTTTAGGGTTTAGGGTTTAGGGAAAGAATAGGTTGCTGTCAAGGAAGTCTAAGGGTCCAAGTACCGAAATAGTAGGATTTCAAGGTCCCTGCTTTTTGTTAGCCAGGTTTGCGGTTGACCATTTAAGGTCAGGATCGGCGAATCAGGACACAAGGAAACAAAAAGCAAGGAGATGCACTAGAGGCAGAAGACAGGCAATCCTCCCTGAGCCTACAACTTCCTTTGCTGGGGCTACCAAATGGCCTTGCCCGGATCCTCAGGCACAGCCCGAGATGCAAAGATGGTTGTTGTCTGCAGCCGCAGCTTTCGAGCCTGTCCGATTCCGCTTACCCTCGAGCCATGTTCCAGCGTGTACTTGGTGGGGCTCTTCCGCTCGCATTGGCAACTACTCTTTGTGGCTGCGGCGAAGAAGTGGTTGTCCCAGAGTCTTATCTTTATACAAGTCATGAGTGAGTGGGCTTTGTTGCTCGTATTTATACGCTTGCTTTTCAGGATTCAGGTTGTGTTTGTTCTGCGGGCATTATAGCTCTCAAGCGTTTTGGGGTCTCGCCGCTTACACCTCTTCTGAGAGCTGTAACGTTCATTGCTCAACAGCCGCTGATTGAACAGTACGCCTTGCGTCTCATTAATCATTTGTGCCTGAACACAGGTTAGCATCTACACTCTGAAAACCTAACCCCTGAACCCTAAACCCCTAAACCCCTAAACCCTAATCCATGCTGAAAACCTCAGCCCTCAACCCTTGTTTAACAGCTCTCTGGTTTCCTGTAAAGGAGTGCTCAACCTTCAATAAGAACGGTGTGGCGCCAGTGACCGATTCGACGACTTGTCGCACCGCCTGCCGCACCGCCGAAGGACTCCGCGAGCTTCCCGGCGGGTTTAGGGGTTGAGGGTTTAGGGTTCACAGCAGGTTGTCGTTCTAATCACTATTTTACCATCATCAAATCGCAACTATAGGAAGAACACTAGCGAAGATATAGTGTATATAAATATATATATATATATATATATATATATATATGGTTGTGTATGTATATCTATGTGTACATATGTGTATATCTTTATACACACATATTTATCTATCTATATATATACATATATATATATATATATATATTTGTTTTTATATACATATACGTGTATATATAATATACAGACACACACACACACACACGTGTGGAGGCCCTTCAATGCTCAGCCCAGGATCAACGGTCAGCTCGATGACTGGAAGGGCAGCTCGGGCTCTGGACTCGCAGCGGCGGTTTTGGGAGACCCTTTTTTTTGGGTGGGGGAAGGGGGGTTTAGGGTTTAGGTAAAGTTTAGGAATGACGAAGGGGTTCAGGTTTTGTCGGTGAGTTTTGCGGTTTTGGGAGTTTCTGTTGGACGGCTTCGGGGTTTCAGGGTTCTTGCAGAACTTCAGGCTTTCAGGGTTCCTTCAGGGTTACCATTCTGAGTTCTAAGGTCTTAAGAGTGACGGCTGACGGTTCGGGAAGTTTCTGGATTGTAATTTTGGTTGGGATGCTTTAGTATACTTCAGGGGGAGTAGAGGTTTTTGTTGTTGGAGGGTCTTGAACTGCAACCGAGGAAAGTGTGAGTGCATCACCAATGCGAATGGTGACTGGGATCGAGATTACTCGACAACTGTGTTCTGCTGCTTTATACTTTTTGATTGCTTGTGTATTACACTGTTGCCTCACATGTAATACGCGAACATGCTAGTTGATTGTTCTGTTGTGATTTCTTGGTCTGGTATGCTTATAGAAGCCCGTACGAAACTTAAACTTGACTTGTTATCCTTGGTCGTTGGACTACCAAGGCGGCAGGAGGACTGCGTGCCAGGACAGCGGTTACTCCACATGACTGGGTTCATACATACCCGACATGCTGATGATTTGACTCCCTTTATGGGATCCTTAAGGGAGGGGGTTCTAAGAGGGGGATATAACCCAATAATCCCCAACTCTCCCTAGGGCTTCCTTAATTAGGTTCCCTAAAGCTCCCTAAGGATCCCTAGGAACCCTCCCCGCTTGAACCACCCCCCCTTAAGGATCCGATAATCCCTTCAGAAACGTGAAACTGATAGACCGGCAGATCTGGTGCCAACGTGCTCCAGAGCGCGCCAGGCAGTGCATAAAAAAGCCTGCAGAGTCCGCACCTTAACCTTCCAAAAACCTACCTTTTGTAGGATCTTATTATAAACCCCCACATGGAATTCATAGGGACCCTACAAAAAAGTAGTTTTTGGTAGGTTAAGGCAGAGAGGTGCTGACCCCGAAACCCGGAGACTTATGAAGTGGCACGCTTCATTTCTTTTCCGCGCACCCTTGTTATTTGAGGGGACGCTGCGGAACCGAGCGCTAACTTACTGCTCCTCCGCGTTCCACGTCTCGTCGTCGTTGCCAGCATAGCTTGACTGCCTGGTGCGTTCCGATTGGTAGAAGTGTCGTTATCAGGCTGGGCTAGCGGTTCAGCTTCGGTTTTAAGATAGTGAAGCCCGGAACACTGAGCCCACAATGTTTCGGCAGCACAGCAGGGTTGGGCTCATCGGAAAGTACCTATAGTCTTCATTGTAGTTCCTTTTTTTGGTTTAACCAATTATATATTAAGGATTTTATAAGGTATCCCCAAAAAGGAACTACAATGGAGACTATAGGTAGGACTGGCAAGGCTTTGCAGCAGCCCGCGGTTCGGACATGAGCCGATGCGAAGACTTTCCAGAGAGGTTCAGGCTTAGCTGACACAGCTCCGTAACCTGGACCCTTAAAGCCCGAAGCCCCGAAACCTCTAAACCCTAAGCCCTAAAAGCCCGAAACTAAACCCTAAGCCCTAAAAGCCCGAAACATTAAACCCCAAAACCCAGCCCCAAAGCTGCTCACGTTGCGAAAATGTCAGGGGCAACCTCGACTCCGCTGTGTATCCCATCGACTCTTGGCACAGAAGCCGAGCATCTGAGGTTTAAGTTTCAGGGTTCACGGTTCAGGGTTTCAGGTTTAGGAGTTTAGGGTTTAGGGTTTAGGTTGTAGGGGTTCAGGGTTTGCGGTTGATTTGGTCGTTGCAACTACGTAAAAGGGTTGCATTGCAGTTCTTGTTTTGGCTTCTTTCAGAATCTTGATTAGTTCTGAGACTCGTTAAGCAAAAAGCAAGCTGGACTCCAAAGTTCCTACCTTCCTAAGGGCTCATATAGGGCAGGCAGAATCGGGAACCGTAAAAACGAAACTTTTCTACCCCTAAACCCTAAACCCTAAACCCTAAACCCTAAACGCTAAACGCTAAACCCTAAACCCTAAACCCTAAACCCAGGAAGGAACTGCAATAGAGACTCCAGGCTGCTTTGGAGGAACGTGCCTGCAAGGTCAGCCTACTTGGAGGTTCATGGGTAGTTATAAATAGGGTTATAAGTAGGGTATCTATAGTTATAACCTATATTAGGGGACTTATAACTCCATTTATAACTACAAATGAGCCTCCAAGGTAGCCTAAACCTAAAGCATCAACCCTGCCTGTAGCCCCAGAAGCCTATACTTTACAACCCTAAACCCTAAATCCCAAACCCTATAAACCCTAAACAAACCCTAAAACCTAAACCCTAAACCCTACCTAAAACAATATAATGCGGAATTTCGTTTTGGAGGATACATGGCTTTAGGTTTACCCCGACCTCTGGCTCAGGAGTTGACGGTTCTACTGTGGATGTTTTTCCCTAAACCCCTAAACCCCTAAACCCTAAGCCCCTAAACCCCAAACCTTAACCCCTATACCCTAAACCCCTGAAGCCCTAAACCCTAAACCCCTGAACCCCTAAACCCTAACCCCTAAACACCTAAATCCTAACCCCAAAACCCCTCAACCCCTTAAGCCCCAAACACTTGGGTTTCGGGTGACAAAACCCTGAAGTCAGCACAACCTAATATAGAGGCCTTGAGAATTAGAATAGGGTGAGGGGGTACATTATACTATAATTATAAGAGGGAGCCTGCAACACCCTATTTTAATTATTCAGGCCCCCACCTTAATCATACTCGGTCATGCAAAGCCTACGGCACGCTTAAGTCATTAAGAGAACTTTCAAAGAAGCCCCTAATTAGAGGAACCCCTAAACCCTGAGCCCTAAACCCTGCAACTTGAACCCTATGCCCGAATCCATCAACCCTAATCAACCTCAACCCTGTTTGAAAGGAGCCCCTTGTTCTAGGCCTAAGGGTCCAAAGGACCTAGTAATTAGGTACTTGGTTTACGGGTAGTTTTGTAGGTTAGTATTTGGGAGAGATGATTAGGTACTTGGACCCTGAGATTAGGTACATGGCCCTAAACCCTAAACCCTAAACCCTCTGGGTTAGGGTTCCCGTGCAATCAACGTAGGGGCAGTTCTCAAACTAGGGTCCCCTTTTTGGGTCCCCAANNCCCTAAACCCTAAACCCTTACAACAAAGGACCCCTAACAGGTACCCTAACGTAGAAAGCTACCCGTATAGTATACGCCAGAAACCCAAGCTTGAGGAGTCCCTGGCTCTAGCTTTAGGGTTTAGGGTTTA